GGTGGGGAGGAGGGGGCGGAACGTCCCCCCGCCACTCCTGTGAGGAACGTAGCACCTGGGATGCTTCCTGGCCAAGAACAGGCTTTTGCATACAAAAGTAGCAAGTGTGCTTGTGAACAGTGCATTTAGGAGAAAATTTTCTAAATACTTAAACACAAAAACATGTATGAATCTCTTGATACTACACAAGAGTACACACACTGCAGAAGAAAACTCTTAACATACCGTGTTAAATGACATTGGCCAACCTCAGACATAATTTATATTAGTACTTCCCTCACTTAGTTTCAAATATATTGACCTGAAATTAATTTAAACACCATATTATTGAGATCATAACTGCTCAGAATCATCTTCTGTCCTGGTTTATAGTGCTCCAGTTTATAGTGAATCTACTGAAAATCTAAATCTACCAAATCATTGACTCTCCAACCTTATTCTGACTTTATACTGATGTGATTTAATTTCATTTAAATCACACCAGTAGAAAGTGCTGTTGTATCTAGATAAGAACTGGCGTTTTGCCACATTTTCGGGGCTGGGCTTTTTTTTTTTTTAACATTTTCTTTAAAAAACATTAAAGAACTCCCACCAGAAGAAAAACAAGGGTCCTAATTAAAAAAAAAAAAAAAGAAAAAATGAGATTTTTTTTTTCTAATTTCTGTGGACTGATACTTCTCTTCCAAACTTATGTCCCTCCACTCCTATTTCCCATGCTATCCTCCTGGAACTCATTTGTCTCTTTCTAGACAGGACATGGGTAATTTCCTTCACGCACCCAGCACCTGCTCACTTTCTAAGCTACCGATTCTCTCAGATACCAATACCTTAATCATAGACCTTTCCTTTCACAGACAAGTTACCTGCAAGAATCCACTAAGTATCTCCCCTTGCTTAAGTATGAAATTCATTATCACTGTCTACGTTCAATTATTTTTTAAGCTCCTATTTTAAAGGCTCAAATAACTACTAGGTTTTATGCATCCCTATAGTGAACAGACAGGACAAATAAAAAATTATAAGCACTTCTGTGGCTCCCGCAATGTGCTTATAGTTGTTGTTTGTTTGTTTGGTTTTTTTTCACATGTAAAATACAGATCATGCAGCTTGTCAGTAGAGGTACATATCTTGATTATGAACTAGGACATACAGATGTAAAGCCCCATACATCCTAAGTTTTACTCAGGCATCCAATGTTGAGTTTGCTTTGTTTTCAGCACCTCAGCTAGTACTTAACTGCCTTTGGTCTTTTTTAAAGTTAAAGGAAGAAAGTGCGAAGCGCCAAAAGAAAAATCTAATTTTCAGCTGAGGATTCTAAATGTTCTCTGAAGACTCTTGTTCTCTTTAATGTCTTGTGAGGGAGCCTGTTCAGCCTAACGCAAGCACTGAGAATTTGCAGAATTCAAATAAGCCTGTTAATTGATGGCAACATGCATACTTACTATAGATATCTATCCTGTTCTACATAAATTGAGAGATCTTTCAACCAACTATTTGAACAGAACTTCATAATAAACAAACTGATCACTTTGAAACAAGATACTAGCTCTTAGCATTGTACTGAAACACATTAAAAGTTAGCTGTCTGAACCGAGCACAGGAATTATCACTGGCTCTTACAATGCCATCCACCACCAGCAAAGCATATAACAAAACACCACTCAAATCTGTTTGGAGCATCCAATTCTGTGCTCAAAAATGGATATTAAAAATGAAATACTGAAAGAAAGACAAAACAAATTGAGATCAGCAACAGGGACTGGATGGTTCAGTGAATGCTATACTAACCTAGGGAACCCCAGCTGGTAACAGGCAAATTACTGCCATCTATTTATTAGTAAGTATAAGAAATATCAGTGATTTCAGTCCAGTTTGCTACAGATAACTATGCATGCTACAGCAATCAATATCAAGTAGCATTTCCCATTTGAAATTTGAGAGTGCAAGTGGACAAAATGACAAAACTCAAAGATAACTCATGTTGATGGAGAATATTAGTTTGAGGTCAGGGATGCCAGGATTTCAGATGGAATCTTACAGCTAAAGTAACGTATAAAGACAGCTGAGTGGCTCTGAGAGATACGTAAGAGTGTTATTGTAAATACTTGATGTAGAACCAGAGAACTCTTGCGCCATCTTATTTATCCTGCTTTCCAGGGTAAATCTAGCATGCCTATAAATCTAAGTTTCTGTTCCAACATGCAGCCAGTCTCACAGTCAATGTGCAGACCTTGTGAGATATCTGCATTACATGCCAGTCTGCAGCACAAAGAGTTCAGAAAAGATTTCTCCAGAACAAGATGCAGAAACACAGGAAACATAAAGGAAGGCATCTTAAATTTCATTAACCTTTCTGTGGTGGTTGGCTGCAGAAACAAGTCCGGTTTTCCAAATAACTCATTTGCAGACTTGAATTTTAAAAGTCAATTATTACAGAGAATCAACTGTATTTTAAATAATTGCATCTGCATCATCCTGAAATTCCCTGAGTATACATGCTTCTTACTAATAGAAAACTTAGTTGCTTTTAAAGATCAATGATGTGTATCGGCTTATCATTTAAAGCTAATTGATAAATTAACTTGAGAAAGTCTTATTGCAGGTCAATGAAATTTTGTCAACCGTATTTTCTTTCTAACACACTCATACAGAAAATTCACTGAATTGTATCAAGCAAAACATATAAATCTGCACTGCTGGATCGAAATGTTCCAGCCCACAATAGCTTTATTATAGGCAAAATTGCTCTTGGCAATTTGAGTAAAGTATTGGCAGTTGAGGGTATTTTTATTACTTTTTAAAACAAAACCTGACATTTCAGAAATTAGAATGAAGTTTGGAGTGGCTAATATCATTCATTAGCTTTCATTTCAACTGTAGAATAGATTTGCTCATGTTATTTTGAGTAACAGAAGTATAA